GTGTCTCTCTACTTTTAGGTGTATTCTACTCTCTGCTTAATCGGCTACTTGTTATTTTCATAAAATGACCCCTTATTTTTCTCGTCACGCCTTTTGAGCAGCTTTTACTCTTTATTTACCGTCTTTCAGTGCGAAAAAAAAATCGCTTTCAGAGAGATGCTGCCTTCGGCGACCATGAAGACAGAGGGATACGACCCTTGGTGAAGAATGCTTAACTGGAGTTTGACATTGTCATAGGACAAGGACGCGCTCACGTGCGGAAGTCAATGTTCTAGCTTCCCACTCCTGTTCTTCATAACAGCGTCCTATCAATACCAGGATGCTTCACAAACGATTAAATGAATTTTTCTCACTGTGTTCCACATGTTTCAAGGGGTTTGCAGAAGTGGAACATGTGAATGACGAGTAGAGTACTCTTACAAAAGATGTGCCTTTGTGTCATAAATTTGTATAGTCTTCAGAGCGTTCTTGATGTTAATATAGCTTTGCTGTTCACATTCTGTCTTAGTACTTCAGAATGGATGTTGTAACAAATTAAAAACAGTTGATCATCATTGGTCTTGATAATAATAAATAATTGTGATATGAAGAGTCGAGCCCAGCTGATAGAGAGTGAGCCAGTCACTCAGATCACTTCTATGTGAGTGAGCACAGATGCCGTCAGGTAAGCATTTCGAAATGAAGTCTAAATTCGTGATCGCCCCAGATAGACACCTGAGAAATTAAGCCTGAAAAAAAAGAGAATGAGAAATCAAACCAAGGCCTAATCCTTCTTTGAAAAATGAAAGAGCTGGCAGAAAGTGGACCGAAAGAGCAGAAAAGCCTGCTTTGCGTTCCCCGTTTGTAATTCCATGAAGAAAAAAGTTCGAGGAAGTTACCAGGAAGATCGGCGCTCATCTCTTTGTATCTCAGACGGAAAACAGAATTGCCTTCTTAGCACTTTCTTTTGTCATGAGATGTGCAACTCCTATCATTGGATTTTTATTCGCAGCAGGAAGATTCAGGTCATAGCCCATGGACCCTGCCCCTTATCACTTGTCCCCTCCCACCCCCTCTCCTCGTCCTCCTTCCAACGGCCTACCTGGTGATACATACAACATTCTAAATTATGCAGAGGTTGAAATCACTAGTCCCTAATCCACAATAAACGATCTAGTGTCTGAGTTCCTGCTTGCGTATTTGCATTGTTCTGGAGCAAACCAAATCTGATACATAATTTGGCCGTTTCTTCGACTTCCTCTATCGAATCTACCTTGCGTTCAAGACAGATTGTCGCTCAATTCTTTTCTCACTGAAGTTTTCAGCTTCGTCTAAGAATAGATCAATGATGACTTCCAAGCAATATTATAGTCGTTCCACACCATGGCCCGTCTTTTTCGTTTGCAGTTTTTAGGTTTTCACTAGTTTCTCGTTTCACTTTTAAGGTTCTCTGGAAGAATAAGCAGAAGAATTGTTAGGGTAGCTTCAGATCGATTAACACAAGTAATTCTCAGGCATGCATAGAACTAATAGGTCCACACTTTCCACTTGCACCTCACCAGACTTGAGATGTTTCATTGTAGCAAGTCTCAAAAATCATATCAAGAAAAATGGTTTCTCTCGCGAGCCTCCAAACCAACAAGTTTTCACCTCACTAGCTCTATCTGGGCGTGAGCTGTTTTCAGTTGAGATAGGATTCTTTGATACAGGCCCATATGCTGTCGTGCAATTGAATCGGTATGGTCGACCGCTTCTGCAGCAACCTTGACTTGAAGGCATTAGGTAAAAGTTTAAGCACACGTGCCCATTATTTAAATAGCAGCTGTGAGTAGGAGTTACCTTTTGCCTTCCAATCTGATTACTCTCACTTTCTTTAACTAGTACATTTTTCCCATATTAAATCTATTTATTTATGTTTTACTCTGGGATTTGCTTCATAATGACAAGAGTCACACACTGAGCGGCAGCTAATCAACCGCATTTTTCATCATCTATCTATTTCGTCAAGAATTCGTGTGTAGAGGTAGTGGAAAGAGTTAGAAAAAGGAGAGTTCGCTAACCTAGACGGATGCGTGCGCTGTGTCCTTTAACAATTAGAGCTAAGAAAGATCGAAAACAACAGGGAAGCAGTGCTCAGAGATGTATTGATGAGTTACTTTCACTACATCGTACATTGGTAGCATATTTACGCGATACAGTCAGTCAAAGAGACAGACGCGAATGATGCCATTTAAATGACCTCTCCCTGGAAATCAGCTCTGCGACTACAGCGGCGAGATTTTTTCCTGATGTTTGCAGCGTTCATTTAATTAGGTCGAATCCAACAGTGAATATACGATAGTTGCGGGTTTTTCGAGATCCTCTTCCCAATATGTGAAACATGTTTCTCTACTCTGTAACTACTACTGCGCCTACTCGAACTTAAACCTTATACACAGTAGCGCTCGAAATTCTTCCGCCGAATGCTTCTTCACTAGTACTTTACAGTCGTAACTCCTTTTCTACTGGATCTAATCATGCGAAATTTCGTTATGTGTAGCATGGGTGTATTGTGAAGAGTTGCCACTACCAACCTGCAATCTGATAATGTTTCAGATATCCCATAGGGCTTGAACTCAAAACCAACTGGGAACATGGATGATGCTCCTTCTGGAAGTTCTATCCTTTCAGCCGTGTCTCAAGTTTACGAGCATCAATACCGAACACGCTAGAGAAGAAAAACGCTTATAAAGTGCGAATAACGGGCGTCACTAACTTCGCTTTTAGCAAAGTCTGCTACCACAACAAACATCTTGCTCTTAGTTATGTGGATAGTGCTGCTTTGCAGTCAAATGGTGTTGGCCAGTGGGAAATATGCTTTAGTTGAACATATCAATGTTTTGCGCAATTTCCCTCTTAAGAAAAAAAGTTATGAACGAAAAAGCGTAAGAGCGTTTGGCCGAAGACTTTTGAAAGAGCCTACTGCCATTCCGGCTGATAACGAATTCCTGTCATCATATACAGCTCATTTCCGAAATCGTTTGTGAACCAGCAAACAATGGCTTGTGCTAAACTCGTATCGTAATCGTAAGAATCGTAAACACACAAGAATGTAGCCTCTATAGGAAGGGCGTATCTTGTTGACAAGGAAGTAAAATAGTCGATGCATAGTCAAAATAGTAATACGAAAAACTCTCTTTCTTCGAAAAAATTCGTCACAAAGCAAGCAGATTTTGTATGCTTCTCAGTAACTGGAGTTTCAAAAAAGGCGGCGATTGTTATGAGCTGGATTTGTTGTGGAGAATTGAATCGATGAGTGAATCGTAACAACTTGCTTTCAATTACTACTTTCACCACTATGTCCCCGAATACCTTCCCAATCCCTTACCAAATTCTATATATTTTATTTGCAACAATAACGGCAATAGGCAATGGGTTCATCGTCTATGTTACAGTACGGTCAAGGTACGTGAAAAGTTGGAAGCTAACGTGACTGATATGTAGGCTCTAGTGATGCATTCGGCTCCTTTCTCAAGCAGTCGCTAAGTTGCCGAGCTTTGGCGGCCACTCGAAATGAACTAGTTCTTCGTTACAACAGAGTCCTAAGTGATCTGATTTTGAGTCTAGCCTTCGCGCTTCATGAAATAGATTTCAGAGTTTTGCCTCTGACTGCGAACATGATCACTGTTCATTTAACAAATCTCACTCTCTTTTAGGAGACTCAGAAACCCATGTAACCTCCTCATCGGATTACTATCATTTGGCGACGTCATGCACTCATTCGCGCACTACATTTTCCCTATCACGTACAATTTGTCAGTTTTTTTGAAAGGTTTTTTGAATGTCTTACTGTGGATCAACAAGTATTTGTCTTGTTACAATAGTGAAGGGGATATTACGATTGCTTTCGTTGCTGGCGAGTACCTCACCTCACGTCTCGACGGGAAAAGAATTCGATTATAACTATTCTAATGTTTTCAGAATTTAAAGTTGAAAGTATACCTTTAAATTCACAAGTGAATTTGCTCGCATCTAAGTCAAGTTCATTTATTATTTGTGTGGAGTAGCCAGTTTCACATTCATAACCAAATTCAAAGACCCAAGAAGAAATATTTGATATTCTGAAAATTAACGACTGGTCGTGCCTTCCACTGCTTACTATTTTCAGCGTCGAAGGCCATGAGATTCGACAGAGCCTGTGCATTTACCTTCAGCTGGCTCCAATTTTTGGATCATGTTTTTCGCTAGTACTTCTGCTCAATATAGCAATAGACAGACTGCTCTCTTTAATGTCTTTCTAGTAAGTTTTTGAGATTTTTCAGGACGTTTTGTGTTTCTTATTTTTTGAAGACGGAAGTATAGCGAGAGAAAGCTTACTACTATACGGTTACTGTTACCATACTTACTTTTAGTGACTGCATAGTTATGGTTAACGAAAACTCTTTGCTCTTGAGTATCCCAGAAACAAAGTTTTGACATTCTTCTAACAGCAAACATCAGTTACTATGACGGGTACTTATGATGCGTGAGTCACGGAAATGAGTTGCACTGGGAAAATCGTTCGGTTTTTAGCGAAAGTAGTGCCTTCAGGAGATGAGCCCTCAGGAGGTGCACTCATCGCGATTTTTTGAGTGAAGAAAATCGAGCCTGTTCTGGCTTTTTTCTGTTGTTCAAGGTGTGGATGAACATAAAAAAAAGTTGGTCATCAGGAAGCATAACAATCATGAATGAGGATTTTACCAAACTTAACGTCTCCTTTTCAGTGACAGGTTGATAGCTTACTATCGAGAACTTTACTTGACGGCACATATTCTTCCAGCGGTTGTATTTGGAATGATTGAAGTTGCACTGTTTTTTATTTATCGAGCTCCAGACGAGTATGTTACTTTCAGATAATTATCTCCAATAAACTGCAGAATTACTTCCTTTATTAGTCTCTTTTTCCTTTTTAACCTCAATTCATATTCATATTTTCTTACGAAATTGCAGTTATCAATGAAAGACCTCGCCGCCTTTGCAGACTGAAGGCTGAATCGTTGTAGAGGAGAATAGTTTATCGTTTGGGAAGTCTCGAGCTGGGGGAAAGTCGCGAAAGATAGGGGGCTGATCGCTATGGTGCAGGGGCAATGTTCAACCCGAAAATGCGATTCTGAAGGGACAGTCTATTGAAGCATGAGACTTTATGGTTAAGTCAGCACTTTTGAGCGAGGTCATCATGAGCACAAGGAATATTGCTATCTTAAAAGTGTTCATCCACATCCCCTAGTGGTTACAAATTTATTGCAAAGGGCTCACAACAGGAAAAGCAAGGGCACCTCAGTTACTTACCATAGATAGCTAGAATTTTGGAAAAGTTTCAGGTTTCAAGCTGTGAGTTTTTGCTTCCTTACACTACCTCAATTGGCCATTCGAAGAGTCTTCAGGCTGTACTTCCCTCTATTTACTGAGATTATATGCTCCTACAGGCAAATCAGGACTTCTAACCAAACTAGTCAACTTGACCAACCAACTTGCTCAATATGTAGATTTCAGTGACCCTTCTTTTTTTAACCTGAAAATAATCGCCAATTGAAAGTTAAAATATTCTCTGAAAGTTCAGCAATTATATTTCACGTGTAACTCTCATTGTTTTTCCAGTGCTGTTATGAAGGCGTTTTGAGTAAAAGATCTTTCAATTGTGACCAAATTGACAAGCCGGTTTCAATTCCATGCAGAACGTGGTTGTTGTAGGTTTATTTTATGCTCTTTCGCAATTGTGATGCAAGGACCTGGCCTTGAATTCCTGTTAATGTCAGTTCTTGTGATCTGCACTCTAGTTATTTTATGCTACCTACTTCTCATATGTTTCCTGAAGCAAATCCGGACCAGTGAGTTTTTCGACATACGTTCTTCGTATTTGTAAACCCATAGATTTAGTAAACACAGCGCCAACTTCCTGAATTCAACCGTTTGAACACTCCGACAAAAGTTGTATTAACATGCTATTGTGCTATGGTGCATTTGATGGCCAGGCCACTGTTGATACTCTTCTTGCTGACTGAAGCAGGCGAAAGTGCTTAGATCAAGAACCAAAGTGTTTTTGCTGGAAAACTCAACATACAAAATCACTTGCTTTCTTAGCCTTGGTCGCCCTAATACTTGGTGTGGAAGGTGGCATTATCTTAAAGGCACAGTTCACGTTAATTTTGAGGTAACCTATTAAGGTTGAAAAACGGAAGTGTTGACGTAGAGGAGTATATCGGTAGTGAAGAGAGCGAGAAAATCCGCCAACTTTGAGGCTTTTCAAAAGTAGTGTAAGCGGAAGCTGTGCGAGATCACCATGCGGGAGTGGCAAAGGGTGTTTGGACGAGATTTACCTTGCTCCCATTGCGCGCAGAGATGACCACCTCATCCCGAGATTGTCCGGATATCACTATAGCCATGGGATATTACAAGTGTTCAAACTTCCTACATGGAAGTTCCTTGAGATAGTGCAGCCTCTACAAATCCGTTGAAACTCGTCCACTATGGGTGCGGCATTCTTACAATACAATATCTGGCCCCTTATAGCACCCTATCCAGGGGGTTTTTCGACCTTATAACGGCAGGCATAGTATAAGGGGGAGCCTCGGATTCATGCCATGGGGGAACATCAGAAATCATTTTTATTGTGAACTGTGCCTTTAAGGCTGCTGCTAACAATCTCAGATAATTGTTGAAGTATGACATGCTTACTGTTCCGCAAATTTCCTTGCAATTTTGAAAACTACGATTAGCCGTATTTCGTTACAAAAGAAAGTGACCAAAATAGACCTCAATCATTGCAATCCCAAGTTTTTTGTAAGAAACGGTTAGAGTTCATGAAAGCCTTTGGAAATCATGGAAGCTCACAGACATGAACATCGAGAACCGAGAGCTTTCTCAACTACAACTTGCCTTACGCACGAAATACCTACCTTAAAAATGAAGTGTCTGGGCATCAGTCAATTCCCGTGTGAGGGACGCGCCCCGCATTTGTCTTCCATTATGAATCGTAGCGACTCATTGAATACACATTTGGTCTACACAAGGTTGTGGAGACCATTTGATGTGCAAACCAGTGTTTTATCCTCCCAGACGAGTCTGGTAGCAATCAACTCAGCAGGGATGAAAGGCTCGGTTGGCCTGATTAATCAAGGACTCGCCACCGTGACCATGCGTGTGCGATAGTGCGCCACTTGCCACTACAACACCTCATAAAGTAAGCGTTCTAATTTGCTGTTGAGAAGTTTCCAACGAATGCGATCGTCCACACATCAAGCGGTAATAACTAACCTTGATTTGCTTCCACACTAACGGTGACAAACAGTCGAGTTGGCAAAATGAAGGACTCGGCGACCTTTGCTTTCAAATGACAAAGAGAAAAGAAAAGAGGGGTCATAAATACTGTGGAAATGTTTCGAAGCATGAGATGTGAAGCTTCAGCCTCAGAATCATCACAAAAATGAGAAATTTGTTTGAAATGAATTAATGCTTCAATTTATCTATATTACGCTTCTTTCCAGGTAGTGTCAACATCAAGAACATTTATCGATCGGTGTTGATTATAACACTGGCAGTTATATTCGGTTACTTCAGCGCCGTAGCCATTGTTGTCATCAGTGACGCCTTCCTGCATGTTGATAAATACTACCTGAACCTATTCTCGGGCGTGATTGCGTGCTTTTCCACTTCGATAACGTTCTTCGTTTATTACATTATAAGGTCAGTTTGAGGGACAAGCTTCCTTCGTTCTGGAGACTAAGTGTCTTGCTTCGCCTGTCTCGTGGTGGACGATGTCTTGGGGCATGCTTTGCTCACGCTCAGTTTATTTTATAGAGTCCATTCAAACAACCCTTGGAAAATTCTGAAGTATTGCGATCGCTGTCGTCAAAATTTTTTCAAGCTCAAGATAGAAAGAGTGAAGCAGCTGTTCTGATGCCGAATGTTCTGAACTTTGTACATTTCAGCAGTGAATATCGTGAAGCATTCGACGATTACCTTGGAATTGGTCAACTTAAGAAACTCACGCGCAACCGCATCGGTGCCAATTCTTCGTCTGTGCCGATTACGCTGAATAGCAATTCGAGGAGGGTTGTGCCTTAGAGGGAGAACATCTGGCGCTACCCCGGCTCCTGGTTGATCCTTCCATNGGGAGGGGGGGGGGGGGGGTGGGAACCCCAGGTCACCAAGGAATGCGGGAATTATCAGGGACTGCACCCTCTCGAAAGGATCGTCACACCAAAATGCTGAGATTCGTGCAACGGGATGAGATAGTAGGCCCTTATCGCCTCCTGCCCGTCCGATAACTGAGACATGTCAAAAGGGGACGAACAGATGATAGAACTATTTGACGATTGTACATCTTGAGAAATGACAAAAACTATCTTTACATGTTCAGTTACAATACGATTACGATAAAGATATTATACGATAAATGTGTATTACGAGTAAGGCCTGTATAAAGAGGTTGATGAGGATAGAGAAAAGAGTATGGAAATAGAAAGGTCCGCAAACTTAAGGCTTAAGACGACATACGGTTGGGTGCAGCTGGTCCGCCTTGCTGATGTTATTGAGTCCATCTGATGACATCGATACTGNCCCCGTTATGAAACTCGTCTTGCCACTCTTTCCTCTTTTTTTTCGGCCGTTTGTTTTCCTTTTTCTTGCTGTTTTTAGCGTTTTAGGCTTTACGATTGTCTTAGTGTAGGCCTTACCTACCACTATCTCTGAAATACCGGATACCCTCAAAATTGTCCTGACCTGTGCCTTTAAGGCTTAAGACGACATACGGTTGGGTGCAGCTGGTCCGCCTTGCTGATGTTATTGAGTCCATCTGATGACATCGATACTGATGGTATAGATCTACGACAAACTTCCCTGAGACTAGCGGCACGCAACTGATGACCGAACTTGGCGAGGGCAGCCACTGACGACGACTGACGACGAAAGAATGCAGACTGATTGCCGGGCGCGGGCTCGCTCCATATCTTTCCCGCGCTTCTAGCACATTCCACAATTGCGCGCTGCACTCCTCATTAGAGTTCGACTTCTTCCCAATGCGCGACGGGCATCAAGATCGCACATGAGTCGCGATAACATCACGTTTGCTGATGGAATATGACACGAGAATACCTTTCGTTGGGAATCGTATAACGTTTCTCTGAGAATTTTTCTTGCGATGTCATTGATCTTGTAGCCTTAGATTCATGCATGACATCACTACAAATGTATTTCCGTCTTCCCCTTCTTCTTGATTGAGTACCTCCGCCTAGGGAAAAAATAGGAAGGTAATAGTAACTCTTCCAATTTGTTCAACATCTGTTTATGGATAAAATAATTTGTAGGCGAGGTTGAGCACACACGTAATCTGATGGATTCTGAGAACAACTTTTTCGTGTCAAATTACTGCATTTTATTTTTTCAACCTTTGTTTTTTCGTCTTCGATAGGACACGATGACAGAACAGCAAATAATTGTCACAAACTTGAGATAACAGCAATCTCAAAAAGCGCTCGGGAAGATTACAAGGCTGTGCGTAAAAAAAGCTATGGGAGGTCTTTGCGGTGGTCGCTGATTTTCCCCTGGAATCATGCGAGTTACTCCGTCGACTTAATCGTGAGGGATCACTTCTCGTTGGTGAATGAGTACGTCGCTTCATGATGTAGAGAAAAGCTTGGGGTTCACCGAAACCAGGCATAGTGGGCGATAAATACCAACATCGTCGTTAACACAGCAATATAGTATAGCCAGTTTTCCACCAAATGGGCACTTTGCATTCCGACAGGTACCGTGTGCAGAGCCTAGCCAGAGTTTTGACAATGATTGACGAGGGATCCTCAAAAGTTCTGGTCTAATTCTATAGGAACCGGGCGCCGCACAATTCCTCATCGACGTGATGGCATTTCGAAATTCGGAAGGAAGAACTGAGGGGACGACATATCCTGGTCATAGTCTTGCCTAGATGATAGGTAGAAGTAGCTGGCGAAGAGATCGGAGTAGAGTTCCAATACGACCTTCTCTATTGTCCTTTGAGATGCAATAAGTGTTCCATCAGGACGACCAAGGAAAGTCGGCTTCGTCTTATGATTTAAGAAACTCCGAGGCTTTGCGATAGCTGTTCTCAGCCTTGGTGGCTTCAGCTCAAACTGCTGCCTTTCTCTTTTTCGGATACTTCTTTGTCGCTTCCCCGCATAGATTCGCAAGTTCGAACGTTAGCTGTTTAATGCCTGCAGCTCGCACGTTTCAACGGTGCCGTATCAGCTCGAGAGACTTCGAAGAAATGCTATTCCGGCATCTTCTAGAGTAATGGCAAGTGAGGCAGGCGGGTTATTGGAATGTTGTTCATCTCGCACTAATAGATNCATAATCTAGGTGTCATGAATTGCAATCCTCCATACACGGCAGCGCTGTGCAACATCTAGCTTTGTTTTTCTTCCTTTTCTCACCTACTCCTTTCACGAACCGGAACAAGTGCACTTTATAATGTTGTATTCTCAAACCTTGGCCTACAATACCGGCACCCTCGCTTCGTCGGTGACTTTTTAGAATATGTTTGAGCCTCATTGCGAACTACAACAGATACGATATTAAAGTCAAGGCAGTTCGCGATAATTTTGATGTACCCCTTTCAAGTCAAAAGCTGAAGTATTGATTGGGAAAAGTGCATCGGTGGAAGAAAGCGGGAAAAGTTGCCGATATAAGGTATCTTGAATGTAGTGAAAATAGGGTTCGTGCGAGATTACCAAGACGGAAATGGCATGGAGGGGACAATGTGGCTTTTAAGTGGTAGAGGCTATAGCATTAATCCAAACGATCCGTTACTGTTTTTTAGTTCTTTTATTAGATGACGGCTAGCCTTTTATTGGGGAGGGTGAGGAAACTTAAAGCTCTTAATTACGGAGAAGTTTGTTCACATTCCATCAACAAATGCAATTCGGCCAACAAAGTGCAGCGTGTAAGCAATGGGTAAAGCATAAGTCAAATCTTACACAGACAGACAAGCAGCATATAGCTCGCTCCATTCTATTTTAATGGAATATTCGTAGCATTATCTCAGATTTAGATCAGTGATGATTTTCGAGCAATATTGTGGTCGTTTCACACCATCTTCTTCGTTTCTCTGAGAGGTTCCAGGTTTTCACTCATTGTAAGGAAGAGGTAAGCCGAAGAATTGTTACGAGAGGATCTGTTGGATTATTAAACTAGCTTTGAATCGATTCATACAAGCAGACCTTGACAAGCAAGAAACCAATGAGTCCAGGCTTACTTTTTACTTTCATTCCACCCAATCTAGAGTTGGATCGGAAGTGCTCGACAATCTGTAGTCAGCCTGACTATGAAGGCATACAGTTAAGATTTAGGTGCTCCTTCCCAGCTCCTTAAAATAGATCCACATAGTCAGTGGAGTTACCTTTTGCCTTCAAATCTAATTGCTCTCATTCACTTCCTAAAACTTATTCCTTTTTTTTCACACTGGTGCAAATAGGTAGTGAAAAGCTGGAACTAGTGGGTTCGCTTATCCTGACTGCTCCTATGGCCGTCTCCTGTATCAATCAGCTCTGTAGAGTAAAATCGAGAACAACTGCGAAGCAACACTCTAGAGAAAGTAAAATTATTGATAAATTCACTCACTCCTATATCCTACATTCGTAACATACACGAGGATTTCAAATAAAAACCANTAGGTAGTGAAAAGCTGGAACTAGTGGGTTCGCTTATCCTGACTGCTCCTATGGCCGTCTCCTGTATCAATCAGCTCTGTAGAGTAAAATCGAGAACAACTGCGAAGCAACACTCTAGATTGTCATCAACACTCTAGTAAAATTATTGATAAATTCACTCACTCCTATATCCTACATTCGTAACATACACGAGGATTTCAAATAAAAACCATGTCGGCCCATTGTTTATTTGTTGAGTAATATGCTTTCCCACGCAGTAGTACACACTACGTAAATATGGTAGTGAATTTTTTGTCTCCAGTTGTTCACAATCCCTTTCGCTATCTCGATGACCTTATGAATGGTGCAGAGCCATTGTTTGAATGACAGCCTGAAATGAAAGGCAGCCTTAAATAATTTGATGCCGACTAGGCAAGAAGGGCCTTCATGTTATACTTTGTTAGGCACTATTCCAAGTAATTCGTTCTTGTTGTTATTTATTCAGTATAAGGTACGCCACGGTGAAAAACCAGGAAACGAAGCTGGTTACAAAATTTGAAAGCAAAAAGGCAAAAAAAACGCACAATAGGAAAGGCCATACCCTCAAGTGTATACTATATACACCCTTGACACCTCAGAAGTCCCGTCTGCCTAACAAAGCAAGGAAGTGTAACTTCCTCAGTTTTTTCTCGAACGATTCTTATTTGGCAATATCTGCAAGTTTGCTGGCTTCAATTAAAGCCATCTCGCCCCACGGAAAAAATGAGTGAAATATTCTGTTCGGTTTTGGGCATTGCAGAGATAATGAAGTGACACGACCTCTGCACTTTCTGATTACCCAGCACTTACTCGGCCGTAGCTTAGATTCGCCTTAAAAGTTTCAAAAACAGAATACTGTATCATTACATGCTCTTCGGTACAATAAAGTTTCAGGGATAAAGAGAAACAGACGATCACTACTGTATGGTAACCAGCGTGGGTATGTTGGGTCGGGATAGCTTCGATACATTGTTCTTGTGAACGTTTATTGAACTTTTATGCTAGCTATGCTTCTGGTACAGTTTTAGAGACAATTGTACACAGAATCAGATTTACTACCTATTAGACAACGTGAATACGACAGGAAATATTATGCACTATTGTATATGT